GTGAGCACTAGGAAAATTGCGAAGGATTTGAGGGTATGCAAGAGTATTGTGAACGATTTCTGACTGAATGTTATCTTTGAGACTAGCCACGCTGAGGTGTGGCCAAAGATGTCATAAGTCGATTGACTCCGTCTTATCACGGATCGTCTTCGTCCTACCGTTGTAGGGTAAAATTACGAGCAGAGTGGCGAAAATTAGCGTCTCTGTCGCGAAACTTTAAGTAACATAGCACGATCGACAGTGCACCCTTGCACTATTAGAATCATGCCAGGATCCATAGGTCTCATCACGGTGCAGCAGTCAAAGAAGCCGCGAATGTTCATAAAGAATTTCCGGGTTGAGGTCTGGTGAGGAAAAGGGTCACTACATCGCAACATACTCATACTCTCCAAGCCATTCCAAGCCATGTGTCCCGCCTAGGCTTGGAATGGCTTGGAGAGCATGAGTTTATAGCATTCGAGTGACCCTCATCCTCACCAGACCTCAATCCGGATATTCTTCCCCACTAGTCAGGGCTTCTTCGACTGCTGCACCGTGACGAGACCCGTAGATTTTAATGTGATTCGATTAGCGAAAGGGTGCTCAGTCGACCGTGCTATGTTACCCTAAGTTTCGCGGCAGACACGCTAGTTTTCGCCACTCTGCTCGTAATTTTACCCTACAACAGTACGACGAAGACGATCCATGATAAGATGGGACTAATCGACTTATGACATCTTTGGCCACACCTCAGCGTGGCTAGTCTCAGAGATAACATTCAGTCTGAAATCGTGCACAATACTATTGCATTTGCTCAAATACTTCGCGATTTTCCTAGTGATCACCCCCTTATGCAAAAGGGTGGGTCCAGGAAGAGTGCAAGGAGATCCCTGTAAAGGTTTGCACTAACCTCGTAGATAACATTTCCTAGGAGGGTGCAGGTGGTAATCAAGGCCAAGTGTTGGTGGACTAGGTACTAGGAACGCTGCACGGAAGTTTGCTCTTTATCCTGGGAAATAATTGTCCGGATGTACTCTTTGTATATATTTTGGCACTAAATAAGATCCATCGTACTATCATGGATTTTTGTGCTGTGAACACATCCACTATGTGCCCCTCCCAAAGCGTACCACCATTTAACATTAGGAATTTATGTACAGTGGTCCGAAAGCCCAAAAGTCCTAATTAATGCAAAACATCCGGACAATTGTTTCCGTCAATGTGAAAGCATTGGGATATTGATTATAACGTAACGTGGCCTGTTGAAAAATTGTCCTCGCCCGCCGTGAAAAACAATCGATCGAGCGGAATGTGGGATTTGTGTATTGCAAATCCCTCATTCTCGTAAGGCGACTGTGTACCCCCCCCCCCCCCCCCCCCCCAAATCCGTTACTCCCCCGTTCCCTCTCTTTCATTCCTCCCCACGCCTGTCACGCATTCCCCCCGCCCCACCATTTTCTTTCCACCCACCCCACAATCTCGAATGTTTACACATTTGCTTCCCCGCCTACCCCTGTCATTCCCCCCCTCCCCCCCGATTTCGTCCCAACCCCCCAATCTCGAATGTTTACGCTCGCCGCACTTGTCCCAACAGCAGCTCACAAGTGTGACGAAAAATAGCAGGCTACGAACCAATCAAGATCTGTCGCTTTACCCTTACGTTCGCCAGCCCCGCTACCCAATCAGCACAACCCTTCCCCGTTTGTCATTATTCATTTTTGTACAATTTTTTGAATGTGTGCGGTGGCTTTAAGCTGGTGAGCAGCGTAGCGCACGACGAACGGCCACAAAAAATAGGGTGCACCGTCGTGGACCATGGAGGTGCGAGCTACCTCCATGATCAGGCCGATGCGTTGCTCAGCGTCCCCATTCTTCTGTGGGGATTCCGGTAGTGTGTACGTATGGCGGATGCCCTCCGCATGAAAGAATTGTCCTAGAGTGCCTGAGGTTAACTCGCTACCACGGTCAGAGTGTAAGCAACCAACAGGCAAGCAGAGGTAGGTGCGAACAGCAAGAAGCCATGGGAGGAGAACGGTAGGCACGTCAGCCTTCCGCTCCAACGGGAACACTGTGGTGAAGTGCGCGAAGTCGTCAACGACGACTAGAAAGTAGCGCTCCGGACTAAGACCATGGACCGGGGCAGGGCCCCAGACGTCCATGTGCAGCGTCTATAGCGGCGTTGTGGTAGGAGGAAATGAGGAGGAGTGAGGGGCGGCGCGCTGCCGGCCCTCGACGCAGCACGTGCATAGTGGCGCTACCGATATAGGCAGGGCGGGAAGCGACGCAGGGAGACCAATTAGTAGACCATGCTGGGACATGTGCCTAAGACGCGGGAATGCAGGGTGACCTTAGCGGTGGTGCCACAGAAGGGTTGGGTGGGCTATGGAGCGACAGGAGCAGGATACTGCAACCGCGGCAGACGGAGCAGTCGGCGGGGACTCAGTGTGCAGTGTAAAGAGACCTGACCGTGGGTCATGCTCAAACGTGGCCAAGTGCTGACCGGTGGCTGTGTCTGTGCAAGCGGCATGTCTCACGCGGCAGGGAACGTAGTGGTGATGCCTCGGTCCTGAAGGTGACCGACGCCTACTAGGTTCCTAGCAAACGAGGGGATGTGCAGACTGGTGAGGGAGCCAGAGGGGACAGCTGGACAAGGGAGAGTGGTGCTATATGTGACAGCTGTGGCAGAGGATTCTGCTAGTGCGACGCGGACAGGTGCAGGAAGCGGGGTGAGAGCAATACTGAATCTAAAGACGCAACGAGACATGCCCGAGTCAAGGATAAAGGAGAGGGCCGTCACAGGAAGGGCAGGGGAGGAGCCTAGGGGACACGTAGTAGAGGCTCCTAGACTAGACACAGTGGTGGGACCTAGACCCCTAGGCCCCAAGGCTCGCGGTCCTCTTGAGAAACCACACTGGCCCCAGGGCAGTGACCGCCCCAGGGCCGCACCTCCAGAGCGTCCACCACGCCCAGCACCCCCAAGACCCCATTGCGGGTGCTGCCGCTGCTGTTGCTGCTGCTGCTATGGCTGCGGCACTTGCCAGAGAGCCCGGAAGCAGACGTCACGGTCGTAGAGCCAAAAGCCAAGGAGGTGACTAATGTGATCCTCTATGAGCGTTTAGTCTGGGTGCGGGCTCACCAGCTGTAGACGGTGAGCGAGAGAACGGAGAGTGGAGAAAAGTGCCCGGCGGTCTGGCCAAGGGACGAGGCCATCATGCCGAAAGAAGAGGAGTCGAGGAACTCTAGAAACGAGGAGGAGGCTAGTGGGAGGCACTAGGTGCTACAGGATCACTAGTGGAAGTAGTAGCAGTGGCGGCAATGGCCGGAGCAGTGGCAGCAAGCAGGAGGCTAGTAGTAGCAGCGGCTAGCGGTAGGCTGATGGTAGCAGGAACGAGTGACAGTAAGACGGCAGTGGCGCTAGCTGGCGGCGGGCTGGTAGCAAGAGGCGGCAAGCTGGGATCGGTGGACAGCGGCTTGTGAGCGGCTAGCAGGAGGCTAGGAGCTGCAAAGAGGAGTAGGGAGCAAACGATGAGGAAGTACGCACGAGAGGAGCTACTAGGAGCAGCACGCCGAGGAGCTAGCTAGGAGTCACGAGGACTGGCGGCACAGGGAGAATGGCAGTCCACAGGGCACAGGGGACTCACGAGGCTGGCGGCCGATTGGCGATTGGCGGGTGGCGGCCAACTCGCGACTGGCGGCTGGCGGCCGATTCGCGACTGGCGGCTGGCGGCCGACTGCCGCTGGCGGCTGGTGGCCGGCGGCTGGCCACGAGTGGTGGCAGCTGGCGGCTGACGGCTGGGGGTCGGCGGCTGGTTGCCGGCGGTCGGCTGCTGGCGGCTGGTGACTGGTGCTGGCTGCTGGTGGCCAGGCTGGTGGAGGCTTAAGCTGACGGTTGGCAACAGCAGTGGCGACAGGAGCGGCAGCGGCGGCTGCTGCGGCAGTGGCAGCAGCGGCGGGAGCGGCAACTGCAAGGGCAGTGGCAGCAATGGCGGCAGTGGCAGCTGCAAGGGCAGCGGCAGCTGCAAGGGCAGCGGCGGCAGTGGCAGCTGCACGGGGAGCAGCGGCAGTGGCGGCTGCAGCTGGTGGTTGCAGCGGCAGCGGCAGTGGCGGCTGCGGCAGCACAAGCTGCGGTAGCGGCGGCTACAGCAGCGGCAGTGGCGGCAGCAGCTGCGGCAGTGGCCGGCAGCGGCAGCGGTAGCAGCGGCAGTGGTGGCAGCAGCTGCAGCAGTGGCAGCAGCGGCAGTGGCGGCAGTGGCTGCAGCAGCAGCTGCAAGGGCAGCGGCGACAGTGGCGGTTGTAAGGGCAGCGGTGGCAGCGGCGGCTGCACGGGCAGCAGTGGCAGTGGCGGCAGCAGCTGCAACAATGGCAGCGGCGTCAGTGTTGGCTGCTGCAGCGCCAGTGGCGGCAGCGGCAGTGGCTGCAGCGGTTGCGGCAGTGGTTGAGGCAGTGGCTGCAGCGGTTGCGGCTGTGGCAGTGGCTGCAGCGGCAGTGTCACAGGCAGCAGCAGTGGTTGCAGTGGCAGTGGCGGCTGCAGTGGCGGGGGCTCTCTGGCGACTAGCTGGCAGCAGTGGCTGGCGCAGCAGCGAGCTGGCCAGTAACGAGCTGGCAGGCGCTGCTGGCGAGTAGCTGGCAGCAGGTGCTGGCGGCGAGCTGGCAGGCGCTGCTGGCGGCTAGCTGGCTGGCGGCAAGCTGGCTAGCACTGCTGGCGGCGCGCTGGCTAACGCGGCTGGCGAGCTAGCTGGCTAGCGTGCTGGCCGGCACGTTGGCTGGCGCGTCGGCTACTGTGCTGGCTAGCGTGCTGGCTGGCTCGCCAACCTGCTGGCTGCAGTACGAAACAGCGCGAATGCTACGGAGAGGGCGTCGAGGCTACAGAGCGTGAAATTGGAGGGCAGGAGGTGCGCGAAATTGAGAGAGGTGCACACACGAGAAAAAAAAAAGGAAAAAAAGGGTACAGTAACGGCCGAAGCGTGAGTAATGGCGGAAAAAAAAAATCAAACCTAGCTCAATACTATGCTAGAGTAGTGGGAAAAAGTGTGACTAGGAAGAGGGGGAAGGGAGATACAAATACAAAAAAAATGTCCTCGAAGAGCTGACCTGTAGCTAGGCTATAACAAACATATGTAAACTAACTAAATATGTCTAGACAGAACGATATGTTTGTTGACATAAGATCTCTAGTTTGAATCACACACAGCTCCTGACTCATCACCCCATGAGCCGCCTGAGCTGTGTGTTTACTCATGCACAATCTGCACTGTGTCTCGCATATCCAGACTGCCTGCCCCTAAATTCGGCTTGCCTGTCCCTTGGAGACTATCTTGCAACATGGGAGCCTTTTCATGCAACAATAGACTACTGGCACCATCTCTTCCTCCGTCTCCTGCTGCCTCCCCATCTGCTGCTGCTATTGCCCCTGATGCGCCTGCTGCTCCTGCTGCTGCTTTCACTCTGAACATATGAAACATGCCCTGTTCCGGATCACTGTACACTGATGCGTGGTTGGGAGGGACAAGGTTGTACAGTAACCCCAGGGCAAGCGCACCCAGCAACGGCCCTACCAGAAAGACCCATAGGTTCTCCCACAGAACCCCAGCCTCGGAACCCATAGCTGCTGCCGGACCAAAGCACCTGGCTGGGTTCATGCCAACCCCAGTGTACCCAGGCGGGGCGATTGCACCGGAAATAAAAATAAGGAGCGAAAGAATCACTCCTATGATGATTGGTGCGATGATGGGGCCGAAGAGTGCACCTTGCGTTTGGTCCAGAGCCACTCCAAAGGCAATGAAGAGAAGGGCGAAGGTGAAGATGGATTCTGAGAGCAGCCCCTGGGCTATGGATAGACCCGACGGGGGAGAGAACGGTGGAGGAGGGGTGCTTGTAATGGAAGTGTTAGAGGATGTGCTGTTAACGAAGGGAAGAAGAGGGGGAGAAGGCGGGAGAGGTAATTGGGGGAGCGAGACTGTGCAGCCTGTAAGGAGGTACCTTGTAGCGAGTACAGGAGGCAGCACTCCCCGCGCACAAGCCGCACCAAGCACACTGCCAGCAAACTGCGCTACAATATAAAAGGCGGCGCGGGGGAGGGAGGTGAGACCGGCGAAGAAGGTAGCAATAGTGATGGAGGGATTGACATGGCCGCCAGAAGCAGGAGCCATGGCGAGGATGTGGAGAGTTAGGAGGAGGCCGTTGATTAGGCCGATGGCGAGAGGCGGCGAGGTGAAGGAGGAGTTAAGGCAGGAGGTGGTGCCTAGGATGGAGAGGAACACGAGAGACGCCGTGCCCACGAGCTCGATTAGCGACGCGCGCCACACCTGATAGGGGGTTTGGTGGAGAGGTTAGTAACGCGTATTGTAGGAGGTGTTAGAACTACTAGAGCGAGCAAGACTCACAGCTGCAATGGGCAGCTGGCAATGTCGTGTGTGGAAGGAGCGGAAAGAGCGGAGAAGGGGTTTGCTGTCTCCTTAGAAGCACGTAAGAACACTTATTCACAGCGCGCAGCCATCAGGCCTTTTCTGGTGGCGAGCAATCCGAAGGACGCTGCCCGCACTAACGCAAGGCACGGCAGCAGCGCAATGCGCCCGGAGCGCCCATAGATCGCCGCCCAATGAGCGCAGACCAAAGAACGCCGCCCAATGAGAGCCGCTCAAAGAGCGCCGGGCAAAGAGCACCCGCAGAGCGTACCTCGGACGAGAACCAGTCATTGAGGCCCAGCGCGCGTGCAACGGGCCCGTGGAAGGGAGCGCGACGACATCGCCCGTGCGGAGTGCGACGCTCGTCCGTCGCATACGGCACGAGCGACGCCTCGAACGGCGCCGTGCGACCGTCTTCCTCCATGGCTACACCTGTGCGACCGTCCGCCACGTGTAGGTCATGCTCATGCGACGTTAATTTACTGGAATTGAGATCCATGGCTCTGTGACTACTGGGAATGTCTAAACCGAATCAGATTTAGACTCAGTTAGATTCAGATTCCAATTCCCAGTCACGTGGTCGCGGTACGAGCCAACGGAAGCGCCGGCTTGCGGATTTCTCCTTATGGCTGTGAAAGTATCCGATGTGACAAAAACGGGGCTGCGACACGGAAGCCCGCCGTCCTTCTCAACCGGAGCAGCAAGCTTCGCGGAGAGAGTTCGCGTTGCCGCGGACAGCTCGTATTCGACACGGTCACACTCTTGACGTTGACAATCGTATTGCAAGCCGCATGCAACTGACGAGCACTGTGAGGGGATGACTGCCATGAGCAGCAACGACGCAGCTAAGTAGTAATCGCGAATAAGGCATCCTGGAACATCAGTCTGTCAGAGGTTGATCAAGGGCGATTCCTGCGTCCGTGTCATCCGAAAATGACCTGGTGTTTTCCACAGCCAAATTTCGGAAGACACTCGAGGATGACACGACGCAAAATACGCCCTGAAAGGCACAAGGGTCGAGTCGAGAAGGTCAACCTCGAGAAGATTCCAATAGCACTTTCCTGGTGGCTTCACATCCCAATTGCCTGTCTCCATCTCCCCAGTGGGGTGAAACGAGTTCCCGGGGCTCAGAGAATAGGCCCTACAAACAACTACGTTTTCAAATGTTTGTTTTGTTGCCCCTTAGCATTATTGTACACCAGGGCGATGAATTGCAACGCGCAGGACCGAGTGTGATAATAACAGGGCGTACACAGCAATCAAAAGCCGCCATCCACTCCTAGTTGCCTTCCGCCATCCTCCGTGAAACTAGCAGACAGGCACTGAGAGAGAGGAGTAGCATCTCGCCTCGCCAGCCATTACCGACCAGTTAACAGCTGCGACACACTCACCCGACTGACAGGCTCCACTCCCTCACCGCTCTCTCGTCCAACTCGCCATGCGCGTCCCAGTTGCTTCGCACAGTCACCGCCTGTCGTCCACGGAAAACCATTCCGCACTGCGGTCCACTGGCGCTCATCCCCTCGAAACCGCGCCTCGCCATACTGCGACGCCACATGTATCCTCCCATTTCTTGCTACTGACCGAACGCGACTAACTGAACTCCCCGCCTTCCTAATCGACGACTCGTAGGCTCGGAGCCTGCATAGCTCGGAGCCTGCATTGCTCTGCGAAGTTACCTGGCATGTCACCACCCCACGCACTAGATTATCAGGTCACCGCAATGCGCGCTTAGAAACCGTAGCTCAGCGCCTGAGGCATTTCGATTGTCCATAGCTCATTTACCACCCGGCCAGCGGGATTAAAAGCCCACGTGGAGCAATTCCCTTGGATAGACTGACCAACCTTACAAAAAAAAAATAAAAAAAAATCAACAGCACGAGCATTTTCTAGTTTTCCAAAAACCATCTGATCAGATTCCCTGTACCCGAATTCTCCTACTACTAACGCCGCCATGGATGCGCGGAATAAGCAAACCTCTAGCTCCAAGCCGCAGACGCCCAGATTAACTGCCGCCACCTTAGCCGCCGCCGCCGTGGGCGGCGCCGCGAGTGGCGGCCCAGGGGATTCGTCCTCCATGCCTCGAACCGGGCAAGGCGGGTTGCCTAATCTGCCGATCGCGCTCGTCCTTAATCTCGCAGCGCTCTTAGAAAAACTCGACGAGGCGCTTCTCCCCGCGGTGTACCGCTCCCTAGCGCCGTCTCTTAATCTCCACTACTCCGCGCCGGCTTTCTCCCTGGGAACCCTGGCGTTCTATCGCTGCCTCGTGCAGGCGCTGGCCGCGCCGCTCGCGGCGTATTTGGCGGCACGGGGGGATCGTGTGGCGATTATTGGCGCGGGGGCAGTGGCGTGGGGAGTGGCGACTGCTGCCGTTGGGCTGGCGTCGACCTACTGGGGGGTGAGAGGAGGGTTGGGAGGAGGGGGTGAGAGGAGGGGGTGAGAGGAGGGTTGGGAGGAGGGGGTGAGAGGAGGGGGTGAGAGGAGGGGGTGAGAGGAGGGGGTTGAGAGGAGGGGGTGAGAGGAGGGGGTTGAGAGGAGGGGGTGAGAGGAGGGCGATGAGAGGAGGCGTGAAAAAGAGGGGTGAGAGGAAGGGAGTGAGAAGAGGGGGGTTTCATATTGCATGGAGCGTGCTGCCCTGCATACTCCCTCTCCCTCACAATCTCTCTCGCCTCCCCTGCACGCAGTATCTTCCCCCCTTCCTTCTCCAAAAGGCTTCTATCCATCCCTCTCACTCCTCCCGTCTCCCCTTCTCGTCTCTATCTCTCTCTCCCCTCCCCTCCACATGTCTCCCCTCTCCCTCCCCACCCCTCCCCACTCCCCTCCTCCCCTCCTCCCCTCCTCCCCTCCTCCCCTCCTCCCCTCCTCCCCTCCTCCCCTCCTCCCCTCCTCCCCTCCTCCTCTTCTCCCCTCCTCTCCCCCCCCCAGGTGGCGATAGCCCGAGCGGCCAGCGGCGTGGGACTCGCCCTGGTGCTGCCGTGCATCCAGTCGCTCCTCGCCGATCTCTCCTCTGAGGACTGCAGAGGCACCGCCTTCGGCGCCTTCCAGGCCTCCTCCCAGCTCGGCTCGCTGCTGGGCGCGCTGGCAGCGTCTGCTCTGGCTGGGCGGGCGCTGCTGGGGCTGCCGGGATGGCGAGCGGCGTTCCACCTTGTAGCTCTGCTCAGCGTTGCGTTTGGGCTGCTCCTGCTCTCCCTCTCCTCCTTCTCAGCGTCCTCCTCCTCCTCCTCCTCCTCCCAATCTGCCTCCTCCTCCTTCTCGAGATCCTCCGAATCATTCGTCTCGTCTGCTCTTGGGCTGTTCTCCCGTCCCTCCCACTCATCACACCCCGCTTCTGCTTCTGCTTCTGGTTCTGCATCTGATTCGCTGCCTGTCTTCAAAGTAGCAGCTGCACCTACAGCGGCCTCCCTTCAGCTCACGCGAGAAAGCAGTGTGGGGTCAGCAACTGGTGGCACCACACTTGCAGCTTGGAGCTCGTCCGTATCTAGGTGGGTGGGCAGGGAGAGGGGAGAGAGGGGAGAGGGGAGAGAGGGAAGAGGGTAGAGAGGGGGAAAGGATGGAGAAGGGGGAAGGGTAGAGAGGGCAAGGGTGGAGGTGGTGAGGGTCCAACAACCGCACGTGCTGTGGCCTCTCATCCCCGTGCCACAGGGAGCAGTGTGGAGGCAGCAAGTGCTAACACCGGCAGCGATGCATGGATTTCGTTTGTATCAAGAATCAGCAGGTCGGTGGGCACCTAGAGGATAGGGTGGGGGCAGAGTGCAGGCGAGGGCAGAGTGCAGGCGGGGGCAGAGTGCAGGCGAGGGCAGAGTGCAGGTGGGGACAGAGTGCAGGCGAGGGGTGAGTGCAGGTTAGAGGAGAGTGCAGTGGGGGGGGAATGCAGCTGAGGGGAGAGTGCAGGTTGGGGGGGAATGCAGGTGAGGGGAGAGTGCAGGTGGGGGGAGAATGTAGGTGAGGGGAGCGTGCAGGTGAGGGGAGAGTGCAGGCGAGGGGAGAGTGCAGGTGGGGGGGGCGGGGTGGCTGGAATTGGGAAGCTGTTGAGGTTGAGATGGGTCAGATGGGTTGCCTGGAGGCTATGCAGGCTATTTCTTTGGGAGCCGTTTGAGCTTGATTCATCCTGGCAGCCACTGCTGCTGCTGGTGACCTCTCTTTTTTCTCCTTCTTGCTTTCAAATAAGAACCGTACATACATGAGCAGCACCCGGCTTAACACCCTCGTGCTGGCAGGCACCTCAAAAAGCCCCCCTCTCTCTCGCTTTTTCCACTGTGGATCTCCTCCCTCGCCACTCACTCTCACATCCCCTCTTCTCACTCTCCCTCCCCCTTTACTCTGTGAACATCAGGGCGGATCCCACACCAGGGGTGTGGAGGGACGAGTCCCTCTCCTCAGCCGTGGGAGATCTGTGGCTGAGGCTGCGCCACGTGGCGTCCATCCGCACGTGCCAGCTCATCATGCTGCAGGGGGTGGTGGGCCAGGCCCCCTGGAGCGCGCTGCTCTTCCTGTCCATGTGGCTCGAGCTCATTGGCTTTGATGCATCGCGAGCAGCCGAGCTGGTGGGTGTAGGGTCACCTGTGCGTTAGTGCATGCGTGATTACCTAGGCGCATGTGTATCATGTGAAGTGAAGGCATGCTGCAGTATCGTGTTATGTTGCAGTGCATGTACATCCATGGTACCTCATACCCTTTTCTGTCTGGCTCATATTATCTCCCTCCAGTTCGAGCCCCTCCAATTCTTGACTTGGTGCCTGAGAATTCTCAAAAACCAACATCTCCCTCCAGTTCAAGCCCCTCCATCAGTTTTTCCAACTCTCCCTCTCTCTCTCTCCCTCCCCCCACTCCCCAAATACCCCTCTCTCCACCCCCCAGGTATCCCTCCTCTCCCTGGGTTTCCTCCTCGGCTCGCTCACAGCAGGGTGGGTGGGTGACAGAGCGGCCCAGTACATCTCTCCCCTTGGTCTGGGTCGCATTCTCTGCGCCAACATCAGCACAGGCGCCGTCGTGCTGCTCTCTGCTCTCCTCCTCAATGTCTTCCCTCCCTCACCTTCTGAAGCTGCTGCCTCTGCTCCGTCTGCTGCTCCTGCCTCCTTTGAAACTTCTGCTCCCTCCGGGTCCTCCTCCTGGGGCTTTCTGGTGCTCTGGGAGTCGGCACCGCACGCCCTGCTGTTCTGTTTGATTGGGTTCGCAGCTTCTTGGCCGCTTCCCGCCTGCAACCTTCCCCTGCTGTCTGAGGTGAGGCCGCTGGCCTAGCAGCTTCGTTCCGTCTCGTTCTGGGACAGAAGGGGCAAAGCACAGGGACAGAGTCCCTTCAGGTGAATGGATGAATGTCTCACACCTCGCCCTCCCACGCTTTCGTTTAAAGCCCGCGTCTCGTATTGCACCCCGTTCAAAGGTATTGCCGTTGATGGACGAGTCTGATTGGTGGGCGATGGGCGAAATTCAGGTGTTTGTTTGACGAGGGTAGCTAGAGAAAAATAGACTGCGAAAGGCCAACTCTGGTGAAATCCTGCATCCAGAGTTTCACCAGAGCCGTAATACGTTTGGTTTGAGCCCTCAAAACTCTGAGGGAGTAATCTAAGGTTGCAGTTTCACAAATTGTGCAATTTGTTTGCGATATTCGAGTCGAGTTTTACACTGCGGAATTCATGACGCACGCTCACGTTTCTTTAGGAAGAGTAACCAACCCTGGTTTCGAAGATTTGTGAGAAGACTCAATCTCTGGCACCCGCCCTAGGGCTCGTTCTTCTGCTCTGGCTGGGAGCAGATTTCTGCTCTTCAACAGGTGCCATTACCTAGTACTAAAGGTATTACCTTTGAAGCCTGTGGTGATATACGAGGCGCGGGCTTTGAACATATGCGGTAATGATTATGTCCCATGAGTGAATTGCCGCTCTTCAGCTCACCTCTAGCTTCTCTTCTCAACGCATCCACATGCCCGTCTTCCCATCCACCCACACCCTCTTCTTTCAACCTCCCCCCCTCTCCCCAGGTGGTTCCCACTCGTCTGCGCACCACAGCGTATGCAGCCGACATGGCACTGGGCCGACTCTCAGCAGCGTTCGGAGGGCCTTCAGTGGGGCTCGCAGCCATTCACCTGTACGGATTCTCCACCTCTGCTGCTGCTGCCGCCATGGCCGGTCGCTCTGGCATAGCCCTTGCTGCTGCCACCTCTGCTCTGGAAGCCTCAGGCTCTGGTTCTGCTGCTGCAGCAGCAGGAGCACAAGGGGCGTCAGGAGCAGGAGGACTAGCAGGGGTAGGAGGGGTAGGTGGAATAGGAGCAGGGGAGGTTGGAGCTGGGGGAGGTGTTATGGGGGCAGCAGGGGCGGAAGTTACGGGGCTAGCAGTGACGGCGGCAGCAGCTGCAGCTACTGCGGCTGCAAACACAGAGGCGCTTGCCAAGGGCTTGTTTCTGGCGATTGCGGTTCCATATGCAGTGAACGTAGTGTTGATTGCCGCGTGCTTCTGGGCTTATCCTGAGGACCGAAAGCATGCCTCTGTGGCCAATTGGGTGGATGACTCAAGCGCGCTCAACGGAGGTAGTCGTGCGGATGGTGCTGCTGGTGCTGCTGGTGCTGGCAGCACTAGAACGAAGGCTGGCAAATCGGGCAAGGGGTCCACAGATACCATGGCTGAGCTGAGTATGGGTGGTGGTGTTGAGTCACATGCTGTGCAGGGAAGACTGGAGCGTCACGAACGTCATGAGCTGCAACAGCATGAGCTGCAGCATCAGCATAGACCGTCACTAGGTGGGAATTTAACATCTGAGCCCGGGTCAAATGAGACGGAATTAAGTTCACTGTTAAGAAGGGTCAATGTGTAATCTACATGTCCTGGTTGCTACAAACTGCTATAAAGCAATGATTCAGGGTATTGTTCGAAGGCGGGCTAAGCTAGGTAGGAGAAGATCGCAAGAGAAAAAGAGAGAACTATAGGAGAGAGATACCAGAAGTGGGTTGTCCTCTCTGCTAAGACTAGAAACAATGAATAGAAGACGGGAGAACAGGGGAGATATAGCGTTTGGGTTGTACCCACTAAGAGCATACCCTATCTAGCCTACAACTTCTACATAACAATATATGTATAAATAGACACACCCCCTAGGCTAGATAAGGGGTAGTGCTGAGCAAGAAACACGCAGCTCAGAGTGGCACTACTAGTCCAACCTCTGAGGCAGGGGCCCGAAGACCAGTCAGCAAGAGTACAAGCAAGACAGAGCAAACCAGGGCGACACAAGTAGTCCAACCACTGGAGGAAAAGCCACAAGGCCAGTCTATAAGACATAAATAGAAAGGAGTACACAATCAAGGGCCTAGCAAGTGAGAGTCAACAGGGACTAGACCTAACTGCACGCAGTGCCGCTGATGATGATCTCTAGGCGGAAGCTGTTAAAATTATATAAGTTATAATTTATATAGGCTTGGTAGGTTGTTACTGAACCTTTTCTGTAGAGGGTACAAACCCCTCCTTGTACTCCTCTCTCTTCCTAATCCAACCCTCTTTTCCTCTCCTCAACTTTCCTAGCACCTAAAACCTCTCGCCATTCTCATGGCTCCTCCTAGCTCCTAGCTAAACCTTGTGCCATTCTATGGCTTCCTAGCTAAGCTAGTCTTTTGACATGGTATTAGAGCAGTTCGTTCCATGTGGGCCTGCTCCTCGCGTTTCCGCCGCGTGCTCGTTTCTCTCTCTATCTCGCGCTGCCATGGCGGCCGCGTCAAGCTGCTGTGGCCGCGTCGTCGTGCCGCGGCGCCGCCGTCGACGTCCATGGCGCCCGCGTCCAGCTGCTGTGGCCGCGCCGTCGTGCCGCAGCTCCGCCGTCGCGTCAAGATGCTGTCGCGACGTGACGGCGCCGTCACGCTGCCGGGCGTCTACGCGACAGCGCGCAGTCGGCGTACCGGCGACGTCGTGCTGCCGTCGCAGCGTCGACGCCCCGCTGCGGCATCGACGCCGCTCCATGACGGCGTCGTCGGGCTGCAGCCGGCCGCGTGACGCTTGTGGCGCCGCTAGACCGGCCGCCCGCATGTCAGCCTGTGGCGCCCCCCCCCCCCCCACCCCCCCTCCTTCCCCTGTGCCCTCTTCCATTCCGCAGACGACGGCTGACTCCCGCCGGCCGTCCCACCGTCGCGGGGCCAGGCCACGTCACCGAGAGGTGCGGGTGCCGCCGCCGCTGCCGCTGTTGTCGAAGCCGCCGCCGCCGCCGCTGTCGCCGCTTGCGTCGGGGCCACGCAGCCGTACGCCGCTGCCGCCGCCGCTGTCGACACTGCCGCCGCTGCCGCCGTCGCCGCCGCAGCCCCTGCGGTCGACGTCGCCGCCTCACGCGCCGTGGGGTCGACCGACCTAGAGTCGCTGTCACTGTGGCTGGAATGGGGGTGCTAGGTTAGGGGGTGTGGGTGTGTGTGGGTGTGTGACTACCAAGCCTAGGGGGTGTGTTAAAATTATATAAGTTATAATTTATATAGGCTTGGTAGGTTGTTACTGAACCTTTTCTGTAGAGGGTACAAACCCCTCCTTGTACTCCTCTCTCTTCCTAATCCAACCCTCTTTTCCTCTCCTCAACTTTCCTAGCACCTAAAACCTCTCGCCATTCTCATGGCTCCTCCTAGCTCCTAGCTAAACCTTGTGCCATTCTATGGCTTCCTAGCTAAGCTAGTCTTTTGACAGAAGCGCCTTACTAAAGATATCAGCAGTGTTGGCACCCGAGGCCAAGTGTACTACGCGGGCCTGGCGCCGCTGCTGAAGCTCGCGCAGGAGGAAGTACCACAGCTGGATGTGCTTCGCTCTGCCCTCAAGTCGAGGCTCCTGACACAGGAGCATCATGGCCCTGTTGTCAGCGTACAGAACAAAGGCAGATCTAGGCCGCTCACCTAAGTTGGCAAGCAAGAAAGTCAGCCAGCGGAGCTCCTGTGCCGCCATGCCACCGGCGTAGTTCTCAGCCTCGCAGCTAGACTGAGCAACAAATGAGGAGCGAGTGGACCATAACGAGATGGCACCAGAACCAAGGCTGAAGCAGTAGCACTGGGAGGACCGGAGGGTCTCAACGTCGTCTACCCAAGAAGCGTCTGTGTGCCCAGTAAGGACCACTGGCCTGCGTCCTCGCAGCACTAGCCCCATGCCCGACGTACTTGCAAGATAACGCAAAACCCTCTTAGCGGCCGACCAGTGCTGTGGTCGTTGTCTGCCTGTGGCCACAGAGCGAGCCAGGATGCTGAGAGGGTATGCGAGATCTGGGCGAGTGCAAGTCATCAGGTACATGAGGCAACCCACCAGCTCTGCGTAAGGTCCACTGGGCTCTGCTGACTCCTCGGGATCTTGAGCTAAGAGCCTGTGGTCTACCGGCAGAGGTGTGGGCTGTGCGGAGGAGAACTGAAGACCGAACCTCTGAAGGACCTGGCGCACCAAGTGTGACTGTGTGAGAGTGATGGTGCGTGCTGCTCTGTCTCTGGAGATCTACAGGCCCAGGTAGTGGCGCAGCTCTCCTAGGTCAGTGCAGGTGTGTCTCCTCAGCAGCTCAGCCTTCACGGAGGCCAGCGCGTCTCTGTCTGTTGTAGCAAAGACAAGGTCGTCTACGTAGACCAGGATGTAGAACGGAGTCTGGCCAGCACGAACGAAGATCGAAAGGGTCAGCAGAGGACGGAAAGAACTTCAGGTCAGCTAGCGTGGCACGCAGTGTGTCGTGCCAATCACGGGGCGCCTGTGGCAAGCCGTAGACGGGGCACCGGAGGAGCCACTGGGTCCCAGGAGGGACAGTACCGGTGAAGCCCTGAGGGCGGCGCAGGTAGACCTGCTCGTGTAGGCTGCCCTGAAGGAAAGCAGCGGAGAATTCGAGAGAGTGAAGCTCGTAGTCACGCTGTGCTGCTATATGTAGCAGCACCCGAAGAGTAGTCATCTTCGGGGTCGGGGCGAAGGTTTGAAAGAAGTCCACCCTCTCTCGCTGAATGAAGCCTCGAGCCACGTAGTGCACCTTGAACACAGGCAGCTCTCCAGGAGGGCGCTTCACCTTGAAGAGCCACCTGCCATCGACTACGTTCACCCCAGGTGGGGGAACTGTGTCGACGTAGGTGCCGGTGGATCTCCAAGATGCCATCTCCTGCTCCATGGCAGCTATGCACTGAGAGGCCCAGGGTCCCGAGGTCGCCTCAGCGTAGGTGCGAGTGGTCGGGATGTCAAAGGCGGCGGGGTCACCCTCAGGGACTAGCAGCATGGAACAGAGATGGGGAGCAGCATCTGACAGGAAAGCAAGCTCGTGCTGCCGATCCTCCAGGACGTCACTGCCGAGGGCAGGAGCACCCCCGACGGATGGAGGACAGATAGGGTCAGAGACCAGAGCGGTAGCGAAGTCAAGGCGGCGAGTAGAGGCAAAGTCAGCGACAGCAAGTACAAGAGCGTCAAGACTGGAGACAGGAACAGACAGGTCGGTAACGAGGGAGGCAAGGACCCGAGGAACGAGAGGACGAGCTACACGAAGGTAGTCAGACAAAGGGGGAGGCGTGACAGTGAGCGACGACAGAGGAGGCGAAGGCAAACGGGGAGGACGAGACGCGTGGGAACGAAGCAACATAGGGTGAGAACGCTGAACAGGAGAGACAAGACGAGCACGAGAGGGTTTGCGAGACCAGACGTGAGGCGCAGGCGTCAGGTCTGAAGACAGAGGAGGAGTAACAAGTGGGGAACGAGAGGGGAAATGAGCCGGGGACGAGTCCGGCGGAGGAAACACATGACCGTGAACAGGAAGAGGGGGAGACGGCGAGGGAGGCGCAGGCGAGCGGTCAGGGGAGGGAAGGCCGAGCAGGCGAAGGGCGGACACCGGCGGCGACTGCTGCTGCTTCTGCTCAACGCCGACACCTGGACCACCAGCTGCACCACTACTACCTCCGGTACACTCCACGCTAGCACCCCTAGAACGAGAAACGTCTCCAGCACCGGTGCCACCCCCGAGCCCGCCGGGGCAAGTCATGACAGGAGCCCCAGGACTAGCACCCTCTCCAACTCCAGCACCCCCAGAGTCCACAAACGGCTGCGTGTGCGTCGACGGCTGCGGCTGCGGCGGCGGTGACGGCGGCAGCTGCGGCGGCGACTGCGACCAGGGTGGAGGGGACACCGAGGGAGGGACAGGCGGCACAAACCGCGTCGCAGGATCACTGGAGTCAGCTGACTCCTTGACCGCGACAACCGACGGGAGGGGAGTGACGTGAGACACACCGGACGGAGCAGGGCGGGTAGGGAGGGCAGCAGGGGCGATCGGGGGAGTGGAAACCAGAAACAAGGAGGGGAAACCGGGAGACCTCAGTGAGGAAAGCGGTGGAAACTGGAGACAGACTCGTCGAAAGTGACATCACGGGAGAGAAGGAAGCGGCGAGACGACGGGTGGTAGAAGTGCCAGTCAGACGAGTCAAGGTGGAAACCGAGGAAGACATAGGGGACGGGGCGGGCAGTGAGCTTGTCCGTACGAGAGGCACGAATGTGAGCCAAGCAGCCCCAGACGTGGAACGCAGACGCGTCACCAGGGAACGTGGTCCAAAGAAGGGTCGGCGAAACCTGCGGCCGCTGGGAGCGAGGCCAAAGGTTAAGTTGGTGAGCGGCGTAGCGAACGGCGAACGGCCACAGAAAATGGGTTGCACCGGCATGGATCATGGAGGTACAAGCCACCTCCATGACCAAACCGATGCGTCGCTCAGTTATCCCATGCGGGGAGTCCGGTAGGGTGTACGTCTGGGTGATACCCTCCGCACGATAGAACTGACCCAGCCGACCAGCGGCGAACTCGCCGCCACGGTCGGAGTAGCGACACAGCACAGGGAGACCGCGGTGGAGGCGCGCAACGACGAGCCACGGGATAAGAACGTCAAGCACGTCGGCCTTCCGCTCCAGGGG